AAGAAAGAAAGAAAGAAAGAAAGAAAGAAAGAAAGAAAGAAAGAAAGAAAGAAAGAAAGAAAGAAAGGAAGGAAGGGGGGGAGAAAGAAAGAAAAAAAAGAAAGAAGGAGAGAAAGGAAGGAAGAGGGAGGGAAAGAAAGGAAAAAAAGAAAGTGGGAGAGAGAGAAAGAAAGGAAAAGAAAGAAAGAGGGGGGAGAGAAAGAGAGAGAGAGAGAAAGAAAAAGTGGGAGAGAGAAAGAAAGCCATCTATCAGGGGCAGCCCCTTCCACCTGTGCCTTCCCCCCGTACTACATTGCCTACATACCACAGACACATTCAAGGATCCCATCCTCCTGATATCCTCGAAATGGCAAAACCCAGGCTGTGTAGTACAATCAGTTCCCATAACAATGCTGGGTCCGGTGGACACTTTGATATCGACAAGTGCCTTCGCCCAGGCCGATGTGCTGACCAGCCACAGGAAAGTAATGATGATTGTAATTACGAAGTCCTGCAGAAAGAGGAAAGATAAGAGGCTTCAGAGAGAGAGAAAAAATGTTCATCTAGATCAAGTCTACCATTTCAAGGACTAACATTTACCATATCGTAACTCTGGGATCCATCAAAAGCTTATGGACCAAGGAAAGGCCCAAATATCTATCACAGGCCCTGCCTTGTTGATCAGGATGTATTTTGGATCTACAGAAAAGATATCACACTTACCAGAGTTCCTGGAATCCCGCGGCAAGAAAAAGAGGAGGAAAGATTTACTGTTATTGTTAGATATTTCTCTGAAGGGTGCAGGACCTGTTCTTAGCATCAGAGTTAACTCTTCCAGGGCATCCAGCTGCCTAGGCATGGGCTGGGGGGGGGGGCTACACACTCACAAAAGGCATAGAGCAAGGGACAGAGGTGAGAGGAAAACTACATTTTAAAAAAATCCACCAAAAATAAGTAAGTGAATCTTAGGGCTGAAAAAAAAATCTTTTGTTGGGGAATTGCCAGTTATGCTGGAAGGAGGGGTAAAGCAAGGCCCTAGCTTGGAATCCTTGTGCAGCAATAAGCAGCGTAAGTTTGACCTCCTCCAAGATCCACAAAGCCTTACCTACTCATTCCCAGTGGAAGGCAAGCAGTCTGGTGAGATTCTTGTAACATAGGCAACAGGCAATAAAGTTGCTGAACTTTAGCTATTTACAAGTGGCTCTGGTTTCATACGCCTGACAATTTTCTTGCTTTTATTCAAAATAACAGTTTTCCCTATAACATTTATCTTCTAATAGAGGGGAATATATATTCGTCCTGGAGAAATACCATTAGAATAAGGCTTTTAAAATTTACTTTTAAAAGCAGGTTTAAAAAAAAGAGGCATGTGATTCAGTGGGGGTAAATGGATGATGAAAGCAAGGTATGATAAATCCTTGGACTGCTCAAGATTAATAAAGCAGACTCAGTTAAATAATTACCGTATTTTCCAGAGTATAAGACACACCAAGGGTTTGAAGAGGCAAATTAAAAAAAAAAAGTTTTTGTACTCTGCAACCTCCCAAAAATGGACCGTTTTTTGCGAAAACAGGCCCATTTTTTTCACAAAAAGGGCATGCACAGCATTTAGGAGGCTTATAGAGTGCTCCTGGGAGCTGTGGGGGGACAAAAGTGAGCAAACAATGGCCCATTTTTCGCTCATTTCTGCCCCTCCCAGCCCCCAGGAGCACTCTGAAAGCCTCCTAAAGGCTCTGCACAGCCATATTGGATAAGGGGGCGGGTTTTTAGGAGGCAAAAAATGGTGAATTCAGTGTATGACACACTCAGATTTTCAGCCTCTTTTTGCGGGAAAAAGGTGCGTCTTATACTCCGAAAAATATGGTATACGTTTGCTTTAGTTACCCCAGCTTTCCAGCCACAAAGGGCAGAAGCCTTGTTCGCTTTTGAAAGTTTGTTGACAAAAAGAAGGGAGGCTATGAATTCTAATCCCGCTTTAAATATCAAAGTTGGCTGGGTGACTTTGGGCCAATCGCCAGGAGACTGTGAGTTCTAGCCCCACCTTAGGCACGAAAGCCAGCTGGGTGACTTTAGGCCAGTCCCTCTCTCAGTCCTATAAAAACCTCATAGGATTCTTTTGGGGAAAATAGGAGGAGGAGGAGGGAGTGTTAGGCATGGCTTGAGTTGTTTATAAAAAAAGCAAAGGTGGGATATAAATTGAAAATAAATGAATAAAAAAAAACCTGTTACCTGGGTAACGAAACGTCTGCAAGAAAACTAGAAAACTCAGAGAGCACCAGGAACCCCACCTGCCAACCCTCAGCTACAAATATTCTCCTTTATTAGTAAAAACAAAACTACACACTCAATAAATTAATCTGAGGGATAAATGGCACACACGATAGTTTTCCATCCATGGAAAATGCATACCAGAGTCACAGTGGCTAGAATGCAGTACTGCAGGCTACTTCTGCTGGCTGCCTGCAATTTGGGAATTCGAATCTCACCAGACTCAAGGTTGACTCAGCCTTCCATCCTTCCGAGGTGGGTAAAATGAGGAGCCAGATTGTTGGGGGCCATAGGCTGACTCTGTAAACCGCTTAGAGAGGGCTGGAAAGCGGTATATAAGTCTAGGTGCTATTGCTATACTTTCAGGTCAGGGCTATAAATAATAGAAAAACAACGTAAAAATCCAGATCATATGAACTTACAACCATGGGGAGCTTCCCAGCACCTCGATACAAGTGCATGTAACCGAGGTACAGGATTAAGGCTGCGATGCAGTACAGGAACACGAGAACTGCAAAAGTGACGAAGAACTCCGCCGAGGAGGAGAAATCTCCCACCAAGTAGGTGGGCTTGCCCCAAGTATTGTTGCATTTTGCTCCTGTTTCCAGAGGTCCGAAGGAAATTTTGCTCAACCTGGTGACAAGAAGGAAAAACTTACATTTCTTTGCCCATGCAGGCCTGCCTGTGCGTATCATGTCACGAATATTGCAATTTATTTCAAACATTTTTAATTAAGATATTAGGTATTATAAAACACAAAAGTAAATAAAAGAACAACAAGGAGGGAAGGGAAAGGGAAAAGAGAAGTGAAGGAAGGGGGGGGGAAGAAACATTGACTTCCAACTCTCTCTGTTAAAGTAGAATAAGGCAGGTGCATCAAATCACAACTTTTTATTTTTCCATAATAATATGAACAAGCCATTTTTATAAAGATCTATCAGTCTAATCTATAAAGATTAGAGCCGAGGTGGCACAGTGGTTAGGGTGCAGTACTGCAGGCCACTTCAGCTGATTATTATCTGCAGTTCAGCGGTTCTAATCTCACTGTCTCAAGGTTGACTCAGCCTTCCATCCTTCCGAGGTGGGTGAAATGAGGATCCAGGCTGTGGGGGCGATATGCTGACTCTGTAAACCGCTTAGA